GCAGCCTTATCTCCTCTTTCATTTTCACTGCACATTTTTGTAGTATCATATCAGAGGTGTTCACCTAGCTGATCAATGACAGCTGATTAATATGATAAACATATTTATTGAAGCTAATTTTTTCCAGAAAAATATAAATAGATTTGTAAGTTGTTTTTCTTCTTGCAGGCATTTATGCTCATTTCCTTAAGTTTTAAATATATGCTGTCTTAATTGTAACTAGCAGAAGTGGGGATGCAGTATTTTCTGTTTTCAGTGCATTGCTCTACCCACAGTGTATTTTTAGGAAGTCTTGAAAAATATTTTCCATTTTCTCCTAGGAGTTCCCACCACTTTTTAAAAGGAATACAAACAAATTAAGAAACCTCAGGCTATATTGCAAAAAAATTCTTTGCATAAAATGGTTCATAAGAAGTGGTATGAAAATATGAGTTGGAGGGGAGGAGAAAAGAAAGATAAGGAAACAGAAGTGTTGGAAAACTAGAAAATATTAAACAAAGGGACAATTTTAGCAAGTGAATGTACAAAGCATGAAAGACCTGGCTGCTAGGAATTTTTGGAAGGGAAATACTTGTTCATACAACACCTGAGGTGGTGATTCACCTACTCCTTCACCTCCCTATCCATGTGAATAGCTGAGAAAACCTACAAAGGAGAGCAAATCCAGCACTCTGCAGCACAGAAGCCTTTTCCACTGCTGACCTAACCTAAAAATCTGGGATTTGTTAGTAAAACGTTCTAGATAGCTAATCCTAACTCCTGTGGTTTGGAGAACCAGGGGAATTAAGTGTACTGCTTTCATGAAGAGTTTATGTGCTTCAGCCTGTGCATGTGAAGATTATTTATAGAGTTAAATCCAAGAAAGCTGTTTAGTCTGTGAGAAGATGGAAAGCAATGGGCAGCAAAACAGCGATCGAGACATGATACCTGGGGTAAACAACTTTAGGGGAGTTAAAATGACAATAATTCAATAATCAGTTGGGAAAATGCTGCTTTCCATGCCCCAGGCAGTTACACAGCTGGCTTGCCAAGTCTGAGAGCCTGGAGATCAAAAAGAATATGGATCTTAAAAGGATTGTGTTGGAACAAAAAAAGGGAGGAGTGAGTTGTGAGCAGCTGCCTGGGGATGAGAGGAAGAGTCTGAAAAAGGAAGGGAATGCAGCTGAGCCCAAAGATGCAGATAACTGAACAGAAAGGGAAAATGTGGGCTGAAACCTTGCTCTTGCAGAGAATTTATCTCAGCAGCAGGTGGAAATAAGTCCTAGCACACCTTGGGAGCACAGTAACCAGAAATACCTGATTACCACAGGGATTTGCACTGATAACCAGGGGTTTGATGGAGTTTAGTTTCCAGAGGAAAAGGGAAAACTAAAACTGGACTTTGGAGTGGAAATTCCCTTGTAGTTTGGAATTCACCTTTTTGTGCTAATATTTCACTGAACTAGCAAGACTGTTCTTTCCACATGGTGGAGAAATTTCATTCTACTGAAAAGAATCTCTAGAGAGCTAATATCTTTATTCATCGAGGAGTTTTCATCAACCACCCTGTGTTGGCTGAGGTGCAGTAATAACTGGCGTTTCTATCCATTACTGGAAAAACAAAAGTCTTCAAGATACACTAAAATTAAGTAAAATAATATATTTCATTGAAACTGTCTAGGAAGAGAATGCCTTTAAGTTGAACTTCTCTGGATAACACATTTTGTTTGAACATGATTGTGACACACTTTGCTTTCCCTTCCCTTTTTCCTCTTTTTCCTCTTTTTCCTCTTTTTCCTCTTTTTCCTCTTTTTCCTCTTTTTCCTTTTCTCCTTCTCTTTTTCCTCTTTTTCCTCTTTTTCCTCTTTTTCCTCTTTTTCCTTTTCTCCTTCCTCTAACACTGCCCCTATGCCAAGACAGGCCACACTCAGCCCTTTGGTAAATTGTGACCATCCACAGGCAGCACTTCCCTGCAGTCAGTGTCATGTCTCCAGGCTGATCTCCTGGCAATTATATTCAGAAACAATAAGGTTTTCTACTGAAAACAAAAGCTTGTTGAGACAACAGAATGTAAGTACAAGCACTGTCTGTGTGGGATGAGAGTTTATGTTTGGAATGACTCTTTTATCTTTGAAGACTTGAAAACCTTAATAAATATTTTGGAAGCTGTTTCCCTGACTGGGGTTTGTTTGGGATTTTTTTGAAATCCCATCGTGCCTGCCTCCCACCCCATCCCACAGATTTGTGTTGTCTGTCTGCTATGGCTTGTCAGCCAAGCTTCAGGCTCCATGGATTGTCATTATCTTCATGTTTCAATGAGCTGGCCACTACATGCTACAAAAATATTTGCTATAAAACAGTAATAACAGCTCATCCAAGTGGTATTCAATTAAGTATTGAGTTATTGCTTTTGAATTTGGAATTTCTTGTTCAGATCTTCAGGAAAATATTACGTTTTCTGAGAGGAAATTCCTCTGCAGTAAACAGCCACAGCACAACAGGAGCTACTAGGTAGTGACTTCCACGTTATGCTGCTAAACTGTGTCAAACAATCAGCATTTTATATTGAATATTTGATGAATATTGGAATAAACATTGTATTTTTATGGGTGCTTAAAATTCTGCTAGTGGACCTTTTGTGAGTAGCCCAGTTTGCTGTGTAGCTGAGTCCATTCCCCCTCCTCTCCATGAAATGGGCATTGTGTTAGAGCCAAACACCTGCCCCACTTGTGCCAGCGTGGTTTCCATGTCTAGGTCCACCCATGGATTAATGCTAGCATGGAATATTGAGCAGTGCAGGAGCTTGGGATTTTCCATCTCTGTAGAGAGCTAGCTTAAATGTTTCCACTGGAGATAAAGCCATGAAGCTCGTGCAGCAGGGGATTATAAAGTCTACTAGAAATCCTGTGCCACTGAGTTTTCAGAACAATGCATCACCCTTGTTCATCTTCCTCCTCAGAATTAACATCCACCTGAGCAACTCTCTGCATCTTGGCCAAGGGCCAAGCATGTTCTCAGCCCAAGGCAGGGAAAAGGAGGGCTCAAAGTCTGCTCCCAAGAAACTGCCATCACAGTGCAGGCATTGACAGCCTCCTGAAGCCCATGGGAAGGCCAGGACTTAAATCATCACAGATTTACACCTTTGATTTGTTACTCAGCAGGATCCTGGCTGGAAGAAACGTGGACGTGGAAAAAACGAGCCTTGAAGCGTGGCTGACAAAAAGAGATGGAATTAATGGTTGTGGCTCTGCACAGTACCCAGAGAGAGCCTTCTCTGACCCCTGCCAGGGTGTGCAGGGATGGGTGGGGCTGTGGGGTCACCTGTGACTTTGGTACTTCCATACTGATGCCCTGAAGCAGCCGTGGGGCTCAGGGACCTTTGCCCATGGAGACAGATGTTTGTGCAGGGGCTGCAAACGTGGGAATGTCCCTGCAGCACCACTGGGTGCCACTCCAAGAGTGTGGGAACTGGGAGCAGCACATCTGCTTTCAGGGCAGCTCACTGTGCTCTATCAATAGTGATTTTCAGGATTTCTGCTGCAATTTTGCTTTGGCTCCAGCTCTTGACCCTTTCCCACGAATTCTCTTGCTTTTTTCCTGCTCTTATTCTGCACACCAGGACCAAGCATTGTGTTTCATTTTCAAATGCAATGATTGTTCAAACTAACCACCTTCTTCCTTGGGAAAAAAGGAATTGCAAATAAATAATAAGACATTCCTAATCATCAAAAATGCTCAGAATCCTCTGACTGATGTCATTAGGAATCTTCCCATTGATAGTGGTATCATTTATAGCTGCATAAAGGACAGGAAGTTATGCATTATGGTTAAATATACATTTTTAAAAATCTGTGCCTTGTTGAAAAGTGACATAGAACATGGGAGACCAAGATAAAGGTTAAATAATTATATGAATAGATAAAATAATGGTAATATGCTTAAATAGATAGAATGAGTTATCAGGAACTTCAAAACAGCTTGTGGAAGATATTTAAGAGACTCAATCCACTTAAAAATTTAATTTTAGATTTTGGCAAGAAGAACAATATCTTTTCCAGGAGACAGCACGTGATCAGGACAGTCTACTTTTATGTTTCTTCACCTCACTAAACATAGCATCTTGATATTTTTGAAACAAAAATGTCTTCATTTTGATTTCTAATTTTACTGCAGAACAGAGGGAAGACTGTCCTATGGAAACCTGCTCTCATAAAATTCTGAAATATCTTTTCACACAGTTATCTAATAATACACAGTCACTGAATATCAAGGTAAAATTGTATTTTCTCTGCCTCCTGACAGTCATTCTCAAAGAAGGTACTCACAGAAAGAAATTGCTTTCATCCACTTACACTATTTGACAATCTGGCTCTCTGTTTTATCCCCAAATTGTTTTAACATGATCCACAGGATAGAAACACAATGTCTCTGTATCTGTCCCTTTTCTTCTCCCAGCACATATTTCAGTAATCTTGTGTGGTAAATAAATAAATCCAACTATGTATATTATTACTTCTTGCTATTCTGTGTCTGCTATCCAACATTACTTCATACCCCACTGAGTTTATTAGGGGATTTTTAGAAGGCATTTCTGGAAATGATGGTCAGATGTAATTCCATCAGACTGAAAAAAATATTTTTTGTCTTTGTGCAGTTGTGTGTCAAAGCCAAATTCACGTCTGGGCAGACATTATTTCTTTCTTTTTCCAGATAAGACAGTGATACAACAATACCACTGTCTGTACATTCCTCATATTTAGAGATCACTGGTTCAGCAAGCTCTTACTAACAGGCTGATATTTGTCTCCAAGAAGCATATGAGAGGTGACATAACCAATGCCAGATTTTACTTTTTAACTCTTTTAAATTACAAATATGAATTAGTGATCAGTGAGAAATCTTTGCACTGGGACTATATTTACCTTTGCATCTTAGTTCTTTTATTTGCCTTATATTCATCCTTTGTACAAAGGTTACAAAAATTGACGTATTATTATCTTTGGGAAATTTCGTTTTCTCAGAACTCCTGGAGGTCCAAAGGAACTGATCCTGCAGTATCTTTATTCACATCACTGAGGGACTTGGAGCCTGTGCTCCTATGAACTCCAATTCCATCCTGCTGCTGCCCACAGGTGAGTGTGAACTTTGGGAGAGCCACACCCCAGCCTGTCATGGTACAGTTGGCATTTCATCCTTACATTTTACTTTTAATGAAAGCATTACATGGCATGGGATCCTGCAAGCACTCTTGCTAACCTGCTTTAAAACTGGTCTAGGAAGTCTTCTTAGTTAGCTCTTTAAAATGACAAATCTATGCAATTTTCTGGGACCTGATTCTTCCACTTAAGCATTTATACCTTGTATTCAGAGTAACACCTCCATTCCAGTGCTCAGCTGATGGACTAATAAACAATCTAACCTGCAGTACCTGGGCATTCATTTACATCTGTATGACACTTATATAATTTAAATAACTTCCTATGACCCTTGTGTGAATGCTAGTGTTCATGTAAATACCAACAAAAATTATCTTGCCCATAAACCGAGTGAACTGTGTATAAATCCTTGATGTCAGGGATAGGATTCTGAAATGTAAGTTATATATAGAAGGAATATAACATGCAAAAGAAATTACTCTTGCCAGAAAAAAAGATTGATTCACTGAGTTCTATTTAGCTTTTAATTTAGAACAAACTTACCTAATCTCAGTTTCTTTAGCTTCTGATAAAATATTAAATAACATTATTATATCAAATACATCCCCTGTGACATTAAAGGAAATGGAAAGCTTAGGCACACATTAATTGCATTCCAAAATGTAGCATAGACCTTAATAAACCTAATTTAAAGAACCTGAGAACAATGACATTTATGCTTTAATTAGAGCAAATAAAAGCTGTGCTGCACACTTTTACATAAACAATTTTTCTTGTGGGACTTGGCCTTTCTGGCAAGGTGCACATTCTTCTGCAGTGTGCCACGTGTCAGTCTTCTTCCAGAGGCAAAACTTGCTTCTATGCTGGAGATGGACACTGCCAACCCAAAACACAGCAATAACGAACATTATGAGAACCAAGCACAGTATAGGCAGCCTTGAAGCAAAGCTTTCTCAAAACTAGACTGGACTATCCCAGGAAAATAAAATTATTTCCCTTTAATGAGAACACATTAAAATGGCCAGATATGCACCAAACCCAAAAATAACAGTTTAAGATGATGTTTTTTTAATGATCCCTATCACTCTGATATTCTAATCACAGCACATACGTTTAAAATGGAAAACATCCAAATCTGCAAAAAACCAATTTGACATGAGATTTAAAAAACATCCAAAATCACATAGATTAATAGATCTAATTTACTTTAGAGGTACTCACAAACTGTTACAAAAAACAGATTGGTCATAAGACTCCAAGTAGTTACCATATGCATCTCACAGGTTCTGTGTTATGCTCCTTATGCTGGCAAACTGAGTAATGAGTTCAGGACTGTTCCCCAGACAAGAACATGACAATTTGTGTGCTGTGCATTAAAGCACTTTGTGCTCTGCAGCAGAATGAAACATAAATTTTGTGGAAGAATTTAGATGTTCTTTCACAATCTGCTCTGGTAAAAAGGAAATTGTGCAGTAGCTTAATATATATTTAAAACCGAGAATCTCACTGAATGCAGATGAATGATGTAATACATATACTGCACTTGTAGTTACTTTCATTTTACTTTTTAAATCTTTTTACTGCTTTTGCCACAATCTCAGCATCTCGTTGTTCAGGTCTTCATATTGATTAATTTCTGTAGACCCTTTGTCTGTTGTCTCAGGAATGTCTGCTGATTATCTGCAATTAGACAGAGTTTGGAGGCACTTGGGGCCATTGGGCAAGCAGAGCAGCCAGGTAAACCTGTTGAAAATAACAGCAATTTAATTGTTTACTCTAAAACCTAATAGCACTAATTAAAAATGTCCATACTGTCAACAATTCAATAACACTGTCGATTCCAAATACAGGCACTTGGAAAGATAGCCAAAATATTATTTTCAAAAAGCTGATCATAAAATAAAATTGCAGTTCCTTAGGGCATTGTAGCATCTCTAGGACTTTCCTCAGTATCAGTTTAAAACCCCTAACTTTTAGGTGAGGGACTAGTGGGGCAACAATGCATTCAAGTACAGAGAGCTGTCATGATTTGCTTCATTATATTGATGCTGACTTTTGAAATTAATGATTTTGATAGGACTGAAATAAAATTTGTGAGTAAAAAATGCTTCCACAGTTTTGCAAAAAACCTTTTTTTGGGAGAAAAAAAAAAGGCAGCGTGTTCCAAAGGAATACTTTGATGAAACTGCAGATTCTAGAAAAAGCTGTTGCATTGAAGAAATGTCATCAGCCTCTATCTTGGGGCTCATTCAGGCAATTTAATGAATACAAAAGCTAACACTTGCAATCAGGAAGGACTAGTGATACATTTTTTAAAGGGGAATTAATTTTGGAAAACACTAGAACTCCAACACTGTAGGACGTCTGTGGCATCACGCCAAGTACTTGATATTAGCTGTTAATTGGCACTCAAATTCTCATTCTTTACGTGAGCATGTATGCCTGAGGACTGATGAACCCAAGACAGCTCCGTGCAGGACTGGATGCTAAAGGAGCCCCTTAAAACCATTCCTATAAATGGTCACACCTCACTAGCAAGAGGCACATGTCTAACATCCAAATCCTGGTAGAACAGAAGCTCAGAGTTCATTAATCTTAGACTGTAACAGCCCCAAGCATTAGCAGAAAGCCCAGGTGGGTAGAGAACATGTTCCTGTGCTCCTTGGGATGAAAATTATGATGCTGATGAGCTATGCAATAGATGTCAGGTGATTTGGGAGCAAAGCTCCAACCCCATGTGATCCCATGGTGAGGGAAAGATACGAATTTTCTGAGTATTATTTCTGCTGCCTGGTAGTGAAGACAGGAATAAATGAGCAGTTACTGATGAGTTTTTCTCTATTTAAATCCTGTGACATGACCCACAGCATCACACATCAGAATTTTAAAACACTGAATCACGCCTTTGAATTGTGTGCACCTAAACTTTCATTTGACTGTGGCAGAGTTTTGTTTCTGAAGATACAATACAGAAAACCAGAAAATTTAAAGTTAATCTGCAGATAAAAATGTGAGGTACATACAGTGTGAGTGCCAGAAAAATCACTGGTATTTTAGGAAATTTTTTTTCATCCCTGTTACCTCCATGGTGTTGTAGCACAACTCAGCAGAGTTGGCTTTGCATATGCAACTTTGTGTTCCAAGTGATGCTTAGATGATTAGTAATACAACATGACCTTGAATTCCATCTCCCACAGACTGGTAATCACACAGTTTATTTCTATTTTGCTATTGCTTTGGGCAGGAGAAAATAGAAGGATTTGCCTTCTTACGAATACCTTAACAGCAGGGCTAATCTGATTCCATATGGTAATAATAGAGATTAATTTCTTCTTTTTTAAAGTATTTGAAAAATGTCTGAGAACAGCACTTGATATTAGTCATGATAGTATGAAAACACTGTGTCAATATTTTTTCCATGGGAAATACTGGAGGAAAAGATGCATTTTGCAGATTCTGGTCTTCAGGACACATCCCTCCTATTCAATCACCTGTGCTCAGGGGTAAAGTATTGAGAAGCACAACAAATATCTCAAACACATACTGAAGAATGTGTTCACTGGGAATGAGACACAGAGTATTCAATCCTATTTTTAATGGCTGTCTTTCATTTCAGGAGGAGATTCTCAAGGACCTGACTTGCTCAGGCCTTTTGAAGATTGTAAATTCTGTAAGGTGTCTGAGAGTCAATAGGGGGATGCAGAACTTACCCAATCCGCATTTTGGCATTGGAAAATGTCTAAACTTTCTCATTCTCAGACCTTGACTGTTCCAGAGGTGACTCTAGCCACGTGCCTCTGTAACATTCAGCAGCTTTGGGGCAGTCAGATAATGACTGGGAAGTCTTACTGTTCTCCATGGAAATAATCTGTTTCAGGCAACAGGAGCAGCAGAAGGAAACATTAGACTGATGCTGAGCGTGATTAAAGGCAAATTTAGACAAGGACCAGCACCATTGCAGCTGGAAGCACTGGGGGAAGTGATCCTATTCCTGTGATCCCATATTATTGCTTATGCCCTAACCACATTTCCCTGCTCAGTGCTCTGCTGTCCCCATCGTGCACAGTCACTGCCATGGACTCTGCCCATGTAATTGTAACGTGGGGGGAAACCTGTGGCTCTGTACAGACAGACAGAGCTGCAGAGCCTTAACATCCTCCCTCCTGGGGTTGGGAATTAGAATAATCTCCATGGTCCTCTGTAGCTCCAATGCACCAAGGGCATTTCTGGACGATCCTGTTCTCTGATTTTGCCTTGCATCACCGTTCAATACTCTAATTGATAGATGGTAACTTTGAGGTGAAGCACAACGTGCTTAGAATGGGAAATCTCTGACAAAACCTATAAACGTCACATTACAAAAGGGTAGCTCAGGCTCTGAGGAATCAGGCCCCAACCAACCATTCTTCTGTTCTTTTTGGCTTTGTCTTTCTGCCTCACACCAATAGGCAGAATAAAATACACCATGAAAGAGGCAGTGTAAAAAAAACAGTGGCCTGCTTACCCCTTACCAACAAAGCTTTAAAGCTATGTCCTTTCCAACTTGGCTGTGAGCATGCAGCCCTGCAGTGAAATCAGTGCACTCAGGGAAAAATGTTGCTTTCAAATGGCAGTAAGTGGCTTTTCCAGAAGTGTGAATTGTCTCATGAGCCAAACAGGAGAAGCCCAACATAAATATCCCAGCCCTCATCACATTCCATTTTGAAATATGGAGACAATTGTAAAACAGCTTATTACTTTGTATTCTTTTTTTCTTAGACCAGGATGAGTGGGAAAAGAAGATGCTGATATTCCGGCTTCCAAACATCCAAAATTCATTTGCCTAATATTGTGTGAGAGCCTTATCCTCAAAACTCTGTGGCTGTGAACACTGACGTTGTGAATTCAGATGAGATGAACACAGTAAAAATCCATTTCAACCTCTGGGTACCCAGGATATCTAGTGACAATTTTTTTCACTATTTTTTCCCAGTTCAAAGCACACACCTCAGGCATTGCTATTCCATAGTCTTTTCTTTATAAGCATTCATCTCAGTTGCCTTGCAGTGCTATTTGCACTGTACTATTACTTCCTACCCCAAAAGATGCAGCTACCAAACAGGAATCTGTGTGCCAACTCTGTCACTCCACTGGTTAACATCCTGACACTCAGTCTCCTGTTTGAAGGGAATCAATACATGATCTGGCCTGGATGGATAGAAATTAATCGATGTGACATTTTACAATAAATTCAGAGCACTGGGCTAATGCTCAAAGTGGATTTATTTTGCAAATGAAACCTCCAACTGCACGAATTCTTGTAGCTGCAGTCTGCTGGAAGCTGCAAGAGTACAGCAGAGGGAAGTATAGCTCAGTATTTGCCTTGTCTCTGCATTCTTCCCTCAATTGTTGCAGAGTTAGTGGACATTGTCAGAAACAAAATGCTCAGCCAGCTGGATCTTTGGTCTGATTAGTTGTTATATGTTGGCAACTGTTTTTAATATAAGTATATACTGATACAATCTTATTTATATATATTAGCAGATATAGTAAAAGAATTTTATTATATTCAAGGTGATCTGGAAGAATAGAGAAGGAAGAAAAATTATCTATGGCTATATATCCAACTATTCAAGATGGTTGTTCCTTCTTGTTAATGCAACTGCAAAAACCATAAAGCATATGGTAAGGGATGCTCCATCACTTTTAAAGAACACTTCAGCTAATGCAGAAATTAATTATGCTGCATTCCATAATTCAGGGATTAGATTTTCAAACGCAATTAAGCATGTACTGCCTGGTCTTTGAGACACAGGTACATGTGTTCAGTTTGTCTGTTTCAGAAATAAAATCAAGTAGTGAGCTACCAAAAATATTTTGTGCAAGCTCTTTAAATAAAAGAGTCTGTTGAAAATTTGCATAATATCTTACTTGTGAAATGTAAAAACTGTCATAAATCTTAATTCAATTTATAAGACAATTAAATGCATGTGTTTCTGTTCTCTTTTATGGTCCTTGGAAATCATTATCTTGTGTAGCTGGAGGAAGAGGGGCTAAAGAAAGCAGAGAAGAATTGAAATAGAATTAGCATTAAAACAGAGGGCAAGTATCAGACAGTCACTTCCTTCACATATTTGTTTTTTCTAGCTGTCCTGAGCTCAACTGAAATAGCACAGCATGCTCCACATTCTTCAGAATTTCTTATTTGCCTTAGGACAGAGGTTGCTTTCTATGTCTCATGGGACTCAGATGGTTTTGCTGCAATTAACTGTGAGAGATTTTCTGCCATTTTCTTCCTGTGAGTGATTTTCTGCCATTGTAGTCTCTTTGCAGCTTATGATACTCATTAAATCTCTCTGATGACATAATGAAAACCCTGCAAAGAGGATAGAATGTTGCTTATAAAACTTACCAAAACACTCTTAATAAATTCTTATTTCAAACAAGGCAAAGGTGTCCCTTAAGTTAGCAGCAGTATTTTTCTAATGTACCATGTTCTTAAAGTATGTTTTTCAAGCTGCACTGCCATAAATGTAAACGTGTCCTGGTCCTCCCAGTGGTTTTATTGTAGTCATAACATATCAATCTTTTGTTGGTTACAAATTGGTCAAGGCTAGAAATATTTAAAAAATAGAAACCACAAGCCAAGAAATGAAATACTTTTTTCAAGATTTGTAGTGTGGATGTTGCATTACTTGAACCTTTAGATTTTACTACATTCACAGACTTTGCAATAGAGCAGATAGGGCAGCAGGAATCTGGGAAAATGGCAGTTTGGTCCCACACTGAGCAGTGAGAGAAAAAGGCACTTTTCCCTGCAAAATCCCAGCTCTGGTTTTACCACTCATTTTTACTAAACTGACTGATCTTTTACTCCAGCTACTATTATAGCACTAGTGAGTAAGGAGATGTCACACAGTGGCAATATTGTTGAAGAAAATGCCTTCACCTTATTGGAGCTACTAGAAATGTGCATGTTTTTGTTTCTGCAGAATTTAATTTCTTATTTCTGAAGTTCAGAAGAGATAAAGATATTCAAGACTCTCTACTGATGTGGAACTCCATTTCTCCAATCCAACAGGTCTCCATGCTTTAAATCATTATATCCTGATTAAAGTATACCAGCAACACCTCCCTTCAGAAGAAAAAGCTTTTAGTTCAACATGAGATATATGGCATTTGGGGAAAAAAGGCTTGACTTGCATAGTTCTGATCTCAGTTGCTGATTCAGTGCTGTTTCTGGGATAGATCTTTTTGCTCATGTCTTGGGTTTATGTAAGTAGACCGGCATTGTCTATAACATTTTGGTTTTTTACCCATTTGCTTTACAGAATGGTTTTAGGGATATAATTAGGTATGCAGAGTGAAAAGTGTATTCCCAGATGCTTTGTGGTCAGTTCTGCCTGAGGTAACCACCAACAGCCTCTCTCAGCTTAATGATGTCTACTGTTGGCAGTGCTTCTGCCAGAGAGTGAGGTTAATGTTAGGAAATAAAATAAAATCTGCTTAGTAAACACTGCAAAGGAAACAGGTTAGGTGTTAATGTGCTTGCACCAGCTATTCCTCTTGGACACTTTATTTTCAAGTTTCATTGCTTAAATTTTGGTTGTTCATATATGGTTACATTTTTACAAAATTTGAAGAAGCTCAAAATGGTAGAGATGAAATTGAGAGAAAAAAAATATCAGTCAAGTGTTGGTTCCTAGTTCATACTTCCACTAGCACAGGAACATTTGTCTGATCTCAGCTGAATTTTTTAGGTAAGAGACATTAGCCACACACATTTCACCTTTAGAAGTGTTTCTCTAATACTCAATGTCATTTTCCCTAAAGGAAAACCACTGCAGAATTTAACAGCAATAGCTGTAGAGAACATCATAGAAATTACATTTCTATACCTGCAGGACTGAATAGAGATTAATATAACTTACACATTTCTATTGAGGTGTTTTATTGCTTTTTATAGGAAGAATACAATTTTCTCTTAAATTATATGGGATAGTTTAAAGAACAAAGTTGTAATTTCCTTAACAAATGCTTTTAAGACCTTCCTATGATAGTTCATGTTTTAAATTTCATCATTGTCTCTATAGCTTATTTAGGCAAGTGTGGCCACCCATACGTGACAACACAAATTAAAAAGGGCACATAATGTTCCAGTTTTCAGTACTTGGGTGGATGGGGTTGCTTAATATACATATATCACACTCTTCCAAGCTATCAAAGACCTTTGGATGAATTGGGTGCAATATATTAACTCAATTACAATGGAAACACAGATCAAAGAATGTAGCTGGGAGGTCTTATTAAAGTATGAGACTTCATTAAAATGTCACAGGTTTTGATTATACTGGATTAAAGTGTCTGAAATTTCACTTAACTTCTTCATATCCCCAGAAAAGAAAATTCTGCCAGGTAAGTGTAAGTTCATGGTTTCAGACCTTGTCTCTCAGTGTTGCTATTTAAGTGGAATTTTCATAAATTGGTAAAAAAAAACAAAGATATTTTTTATTCATTTCTGACACTGAACATATAATCTCATTTGCTTCAATTTATTTCCTTTTTTGTTTGTGATTTTTGTTTCTGACTTTTACTCATTCACATCCCTCTTGGAAAGACTTCAGTTTTTCAAGTGAAATAATAATAAAAAACTTCAATTTTCATCTTTTTAAAAGAAATAAAATCACTTAGAAAATACTAGTTTATGTCATGGGATGAACACACAGAAAGGTATGAATTCCATTTTTTTCCCAATGGCAGAGCAGTGCTGAGCTTTCCAAGGAAAGGTGTTAATGGGGAGCAGTTTCTATGTGCTGCAGTGCTCAGCTGATCTATTTCTGCCTCTCCAGCCAAGAAACAGAATACACATGTATGCTGAGCACTGCTATCAGTGGTAATAGCCCTTTAAATTGGAAACAATCATTGTAAAGACACCTAACAGACATTCTCTGGTACCATAATAACAAGATTGAGATAAAAATCACTTTTCTTAATTCGCTTATTTTCCTGTTGATACACAGGATGTCAACACTCGTTTGTAATTTTATTAAAATGGTGACACACCCCCTGTTGTGATGCAGGAACAGCGAGAAGTTTGCATATTGCTATCTTGCATATCCATCATATTTTGTGCTTGATATTGATACAGCTCTGCTTAATTCCTCTGCAAGTGCCAGGACAGAGTCCAGCCCTGTCCCTGCTTTTGTTGTGAGGAGCCCCATTCCATAGGATTTAGACTTTCAAGGTACATAACTCAGCATGAACTTAACAAAACATGAATTCATTCAGTAATGAAATTGATTTCCTGCTTTGCTGTGTACGTTCCTTAAATTACAGTGAAAGTAAAACACAGAGCGTGCATTTCTACCATAACTAGAACACAGTTTTACCAGCAGCAAGGGTTTCTCTCTCCAGTCACCAGTGTTATGGATGTCCTCACAGATCTGGAAAGGCTCAGGACAAGATAGCAAGGAAGTAGTGTATTACAGATATACAGAATAATTCCATTCATTTATGGATTGTTTCAGGGATTCTGAAAGACTCTGCTAATACTGATATTAAGATGTTAATATATTAAGATATTAATATAGAAGCTATTACATATTATATAGGTTAATATATAGGCTATTAAGATAGAGAAGATGGGGAGGAGAGAAAATCAATTCATTTCTCAATCTATTTAAGTGAACGAAGAATTGTGTGCAAAACTGAACAGAGCGTGTCAACAAAGCTCACACAACAGAAAAAGAAAAGCAGTTTTATTTTCCATAATTGTGTCTGAATCACAGAAGATTTGACAGAACCTGTTCCATTCTGAGTCCCAAGGTCTTATTTAGGCAGAGCACAACATCCCTGCAATGTGGTTTTTCTGGGCTAATCTAACATCTCATGGGGCATCATGCAAGGGGACAGCACAGGCAGTTGAGTGGTTTCATTGGTTTATATTCAGTCTTTGCAGGACTTATTCCATCTGTCTGTTGAGAGCTATGACAGTGTACTGTCAGATCTTTCCAGGTTTTTTAGGGTGGCTTCCTTATCTCTAAAATAGGAACGAAATAAGAAATATTAGTGCTTTTCTGGTAAGAGAGAGATAAGGTTTAACCTCTGAACACTTGTAAAAGTCTTCAGAGGACACTTTAGAAGTGCCTAATACTATAAATTCTGGCTTTATAAGGTATTTTACTCTCATTAGAGTATTATGAATTTGACCTTTTAACCTTTATGCCCGTATGTAACCTGGCATAACGGAGGCTCATGCAAAAGCTTTCATGACCAGCATTACCTGTGCAATCTGAATACCAGAAACTTAAAGGCATTGAGCTACAGCTCTGCAGCAGGGTAAGTCACTCTAAATTTTGCCTTCCTCATAAAAGGTAAGGGTCTAGAAAAACTGTGACCAAGATTCCCTCAAATCACAGTGTTTTATCTGAACAGAAATAAGTTGCATTTACAAAATTGCTGATATTAAAAGTCTAGTATTAGCAGGGTAAATGCCTTGAGATAAGAATTAAGGTTGCCTGCTGAGCATCCAAAACTCTACAGCATCAGCAGGCACTAAAGCAGTAAGAGGCTTGGAAAAACAGCTCCACATCTGATAAAGAAAAGCACAATAAATCAAAGATAAAGTAAACTTTCTAGATAACCAGGAGCATTTAGTGCCGTTCTGATTAAACTCCTCTACAGGAAATGAGTCAACACAGCCTCCATGCTTTCCCCATCTTTCTGCCAATTTACATCTTAATGGATAAACTGGTTCAGGTTACTCATTTGGCAAAGCAGGGGATTGATTTGCAGCTTTTCATTCTGACTTCTCCCATCAACTTCTGCAGGGCTGTTCAGGGCAACTGAGCACAGCCATGGGCAGGCATTTAAAGATTAACAGGCCTTTGCAGCATTCCAGGGGGATGACAAAGCCATCAAAATTCTTTTTTCTTTTTCCAGTATTTCACACGCATTACACGTGACTGCTGCCATTATTACACCAGTGGCTTTTCAGAAATCTTGCCGTTTAATTCTGGGATACTGGGGGTTTTTCCCTTGAAAATCCGAGTTATGAGATTATAAAAAGAATCTCCAATTTCATTGAAAGTTTATTTTTGTCCTTGTGTTTGTAATGCAAAGCCTTGAAATGTGCGCTGACTTACAAAGGATCAGTTGATCAGTTGCACTGCTTAGCGTGAAAGCAAGTGCAGCGTGAGCCAAACCAAGGCTTTTTGGGAAATATGATACCACTGATATAGTGCACCTGGAGGGGCACAGAATGTCTGAATTCCTGGATACTTTTGGACACTTGATGAGCGTGAACTCAGGGGGCTCTGTCCCCCTTCCACCTTCCAGAGGACCTTGTCACTTTAGGGGAAAAGGGATGTCATTGTCTGGGGACAACAGGGATGGTGGTAACATCGTTCTGCAGCTCCCCTTGAGCATTCTCTCAGTTCTGGGTGCTCATGGCCTGCACCTCAACCTTCCCCTTAAGCTTAGGAGGACATGAAGGGCATGGACAGCACCCCAACCTTCCCGCTCAGTACTGGAGGTCACGGACAGCACCCCAACCTCTCTCCTCCATTTAAGGGTGATACGGAGCACCCCGACCCTCCCGCTCAGTGCCGGAGGTCACGGACAGCCCCCGCTCCCCCGCTGGTTTTGGGGCGCTGGGCCGCACCCACCCAGGGCCCCGCGGCCCCCCCCGCCCGCGGGCTCCGCCAGCTGCCCCTGGCTCAGGGAAGCTCGCGCCCTGGGGCCGCGGGTTCGAGCCCCGAGGGGGGCGGCCGCTCCGGGGCCGTGCCGGGGGCCGCTCTCGCCGGTTCTAGCGGGGGGTCCCGGCCGGGCAGCGGCGACCGCGGGCCCAGCGCACATGTGCGGCCGCCCGGCACATGCTCACTGAGCGCGGCGCATGAGCAGAGGCGGCGCGGGGCCATCGGACATCTTGGGCCGCCCCGCACGGAGCGGGCAGCGCCGCCGGTCCCGGGGCGGGAGCAGCCGCCGCCCCCGCGCCGCCCGGCCCGCCCGCCGGCTGCCTGCCCCTCCCGCGCCTCCCCCGGGCTGCTCTGAGCATCCCTCCGCCCCTCTTGCATTTGTCTTAATTCTTCTCAGAGACAAGATGGCAACGCCGGCGGCGGTAAACCCTCCCGGTGAGTAGCTGCCGTCTCGCCCCAAGTGGCCCCGCCGCACAACACGCCCCCGCCGCCGGCTCCCCCCGCCCGGCCCGGCCCGGCCCGGCTCGGCCCGGCTCGGCTCGGCTCGGGCCCCGCAGCCCCGGGGCGGTCCCGCCGCTCCTCCCGCCGCCCCTGCGGGGCCCCGGGCCGGGCAGAGCCGGGCCGGCGGAGCCGGGAGCCCGTGCGGGTTCCTGGGGACACGCCGCCGCTCTCGGGGCTCGGTGCAGCCCTGCAGGAATGAACAGTTGTGCATAAGCATTGGCGGGCGCAGGGCAGCCGAGCAGCGCGGACGGGCAGTGCGGCACCGTGCAGACCCGAGCCTGCCCTGCGCATCAGTGCAACATTGGCTTTCCCTGCCTCTGCCCTTGTCAGCTTCATTGTCGGCTCGTGGAGCCAAAACAGGGTGCTGAAACTGACCAGCGGCACCTCGGCATGTGCCCTGTGCTTGTTTTCTTTCCAAAGAATGCAGTAAATATTTGCTGTTAGCGCTAGAGTTATTGACAAAAGAAACTTACAAACATTTTTCCCGTTTAATTTTGTCGTGACGGTACATTCCCCGACGTTTTGTTATGTGTCTGTGAAATGTAACATCTGTTTTGTTCAGTGCGTGATGGAATAAAGTGAGTTTGGATGAAAGGACAGAGTAGTTTTTTGGGTCAATTTGGTGTGGACCAACAAGTATCTGACACTAAAAATAAGTGGGACAACGGATCTTGCACTGGGCTCAATACTAAGGAAGAACATCGCTATTAAAGGTCAATTCCAGTTTTATTTGTTTTAACATGTGCTTGCATTGTGTCATTTTTTGTAGAGTCAGGTTGAGTTCTGACAATTAAAGGCTTGCTTGAGTAAATGCCAACTAATGTTTAAAGCTTGTTCATTAGATTAAATCCTGCCGTAGTTGGTAGTGTAGTTGTCATGCTGAAAGTAAATATTATGATATAAACAATGAATTTGGATCAGTAAGCGCCAATACAGTAAGCAGAAACTGATATTTGTCAGTCAGATTAGGTTTTAATATCAGAATTCTCCATGTTAAATGAAAATCAATATTTAAAGGAAGGTTATTCAATTAATATAATTTCGTTTCCAGAGTAACATTTTGTGCATCATAACAGAGAGTTTCACTGTGTTCACTGACAGCTACAATCAGTTTTGCACAGAGGAGGATACTTCTTGGCTTGAGTTTGGTTTTCCATTCTCCAGGCTGCACCCTGAAGTAACAGCCCTGTATGCTTAGAGGTCAGTCTGAAACTGATGAGTTCTGGCAGAGCCCAGTTCCCCTTCCACACCAACCTTTCCTTTTCACACCAACCTTTTCCACTTTCTGTACCCACCTGCCTGTGGCTGAACCCACAAAAAGATGTGGTTGCAGGAGGTATGGCATGCATGGACTGCTCCTAACTCTGAGCAGGGTTTCACCTTTGTTCTGCTCTGACGAGAGTGTAATGTGATTGTGGAGGAAACATTAATAAAAAGGAAAGAAGAGCCAAGGATGTTGTCTGTGTGCATCTCTGTGCACATGGCACGGTAAAAGTTGACTTGCAGTGTTGTCCTCAAACTCTCTGAACGCAGATTGCCATTCTGTGGGAAGGATATGGAAATGTGTTGGTTTCCTGAAGTCAACCAAGATCACCTTGCACAAGGCTGAGGTTACAGAGCATCATTCCTCTCCTGTCTGGGCAGCTGGAGCAGATCTGAGCTCAGAGATAAACTCACTGCCTGTTAATGATCCTCACACGTTTTCTGTGTCTGAGCGTTACTGTCAGACACTGGGGCCAAGTTGAAGTGGGGAGCTGTGAGGAAAAGGAGACCCTTGATCTGTAGCATAGTGCTGCCTTTTCTCTACCATGGACAGCAGAAGATAGAGCTGTGTGAAATACCTGGACTTGTCCTGTGGCTTTTTAAAATCATAATTTGTCACTGTTCAATTTTTAATTTTTTTTTATGTGTAACTGCAAAACAATGCAGAGGAACAGTAAAAATCTATAACAAAATTATTTTAATCTCATTGTTTTCTCTTGGAGACAGATCCTCAGCTGGAGTAACATGAAAATAGCCCTATTAGTATTGCTGAAGCTGTGCCACCTTGCACCAGTTGACTTTCTGATCTGCAATGTTAGAAGAGCACAATAGAGGATTAACTTGTTAAGCATCTTTAATGATGATTAGAAATTACAATATGATTAAATTTTTATTAAGCAATTGTCTGGGGTTCTAATAACAGTTGGTAATTTAGGCAGGACATTAGCTTGCAGCTACCACAATACAAATACATGTGGTTTTACTCATATTCTAGATAGTGGAATGGGGATTAGGGAGAGAGAAAAGCTGGGTGTTCTCTAACTGTGGGAAGGTCTTTCAGTGTGGGATCTCCTGCTACAGAACCATGCACTGTTCTGTGGCAGCATCTTCTCTCTTGTGTTAGATGCAGATTTATCCTTTTTCCCACTGATCTTTTTTTTCATGGAGAGTGTCAGCTGGGGAAGTTCATAGGAGTGGGAGCAGTTTGCATCCTTTCCTGTCTGAGGCTCACAGGAACTGCAGCGTCAGGGACCACATTTGTGGTGGGTGTAAGGCTGGCTCTGTGGGCTTCCTGGGCTGTGTCAGATGTACCCTGGTAGTTCTTTCTGGTGAAGGTGTGTGTGCATAGCTGCAGCTGGACATCCCCTGGCACAGCTGAGGGGCTGTGTGGGATGAGCTGCACGGGTCTGGTTGGGAGAACTTTGTTGGTTTCTCGTACTCTGGATGACGAACTGAAGTGCGAAACAATACAGGTGTGTGGGAAGCTCATCTGCATTGGCACAAAGCATCATAGTTAATTTATTTCCTCCTGAAACAAGATTGGCATATGAAATGGGATTTAAGAACAAAAAAACTGTGGGGGTGTAACAAGCATTTCGTAAATTACTGCTTGCAGCAAAGTAGCTTAGTGCCATGTCTGTTTTAAATGTATTATTTTTGGCATGCAAACTTTGTCCGTAACTGTTGCTACTTTGGGTTCAGATTTTACTTAGGTTGAGTGCAATACATGAAGTGGTGATTCTTGTATTAGCCAGATGGGTGGGATGAAAACATAAAACTCTTCATGAGTTTAGGAATTTTTTTTCCCCAAGACATCATCTGGTTTTGGGTGGTGAGTTCCAGTCTGGCTCAGTCTGATGGGTGAGCAGCAACTTTCTGCAGTGGTCAGGTGATGGGAAATGAACTGAAAGGCATCCTTTCAGTTCTTCCCAGTGAGGTACCCCGAATGGAAGGTAGTACACACAGCTGTCTTGCCAAAATGCCACAAAATCATAAGTCAAGTCAAGAGAAATAATGAGATTTTGGAGTTTATCTAGAGTTACTTTAGAGGGAAGATCCCACAGGATGCATTTTTGGCTATGTTTTATGATTTTATGAATCCTTAGGGTTGTATTTTTATATTTAATTAAAAAAAAAAAAAAGTAATGGAGTTGTTCATGTAATCCCTAAAGCTCCTTTTAGTGATTTCTTTTTGAGCTGAAAGCCCCACATATAAAGGTATGGAGAACACGTCCTCTAAAGGACATCTACTAGAAATGTGTAGAGAGAGGTGTTGTGACATGAGAGAAGTTGCTGGGGCTTAGGACATTACTGCTGCAACCACAGCAGCTCACGAGGGGTACTTTCAACCCATGGCTAAGCCAATATATATAAAATGGTGTTAAATTAAAGATTTTTAAATAAGCTCTCTTTACTTTCAGTTTGTAATGAGTTAACAGCAGATTTTTTGTCATATTCATGAAGACTTGTAAGCCCTGCATCTGGGCTCTTGGTTTAGGGCATTGGGTTCTGGAAGGTGGTTTTGGTTTTTATGTGTTTGTTTGACTTGGGAGTTAAGTGGAGATAAATCATTCTTCTATTTGAACTAGATATTCTGAGAACCAAATAATTTGTTACCCAGTCCTACATTTGGGCTGAAGTTCCAAGATATTAAGTGCTGTGGAAGAATTTTGATGCTGCCCAGTTCATATTCCCGAAAGGAACTGGCTGTCTGACAATCTGGCCATTACTTTCTTTAGATTTAAAACAGCTTTGAAATTGATGATTAAAAAAAAGAATCTACTTCAGTGTTTGAAAATCGTTCAACTCAAAGCACAAAAGTTGTGTTTTATTGCTGCTGCTCTGCCCTTCGTTATGATACAGAATATCCAGTAAACTAAAAAATCAATTTAACAGCATCCTGGGGAGTAAATGGAGTGTTGTAGTGATGGAGGTTATAATGAGCTCTGATGTTTCTGGTATGCAAAAAAGTAGTCCTCATTCTAAGATAAAGATTAAAAAAAGGGTTTCAAAATTAGAACACTCATTAGCTAATGGGAGGTTTACATTGCAGATCCTTTTCTTCTTGTGCTTTTATAGCTCTTGTACTGCAGAATTGGTCCTTAATTCAGTCAAACTGGTATGAGATGCCAGTGCCTCTTGAATTGTTCTGTGATAATGTTTTGTCCTTCAGGACTGTATACTGAACAGTAACTGGCATTGAAGAAATGCCATTATTTTAATATTTCTAATATATAGGTATAGGCCATACAAAAGATTTCATCTCTTTTATCACAAAACAGTTATTTAAAATTTGCACATGTAGCTTGTGGTTAGTTCCAAGTATTTTTTTTCAATAGAATAATGTTTCCCCATTTCTCTAATAAAAATGCAAAACAAAAGAGATATTTCTGATTTCTGTAATATCATATGGTGTTGCATATTTCTTAGCAGCAAGGAAAATTGCAATAGAGATTAGGTAAAAAAGAAAAAAAAAATAGCCTTTTCAAAATAGTCAAGGCAAAATAACCCTGTTGATGTAGTGATTATTGTTATTAAGAGGACAGAAATGGGGCTGTCATTATGAAGATGTATTCAGAGATTATGCTTAAATGGTTGTGAAGATCAGATATGTGTGTCGTTCAGAGTAATTTTGGGGGGCATACTGCTTCATAACTGACAAGCAAGAATGG